CCCGAGCCATAGTTCAAACACTTATCCCAAATCAAAATGAAGCACATATAAGATTACTTACAATACCATGTAACAAAATGGTGTTTAACATTGTTCCCTGAGTAATACCTCAATGAAAGCTTGTCACGCAAGTAGAAGGAGCACTGTTGGGGACATTCTGAAATATTTCAATAATAAAATTCACCTGGAAAAACCCAAATAAATCTATCTGCGTAAAAATAAATAAAATAAGAGTGATTTGCGGCAAAACCCGCCAGTATCACACCCAACGTCAGTGCCTATGAGTAAGCGTACTACGACGCGGCTCTCAATTAAAGGAGTAACAAGTGTGATACTATCACTGCTAGACTAGATCTTTGGTTCTCTCATGCAGTGGTTTATCAGAGAGGGGAAGCTTAGTAATACCCATTGCCTGCCCATGACGCCATTCTATCGCGGCATGAGCCAGCAACGCCGACCATAAACCTACCGTCTCCAACACTCCACTATAAAGCATGAAATTAAGCCCGCCCACCAACAGCAAGGTGCAAAAACAAGCCAAGGGGAGGGAGTTTGTTTAGTCCATATTAAAATAAAAACAGCAAAAAAGGTTATCTTCCATTTAATTCCACTTAAATAATTGTGGTATCCATGACAGATACGTATTTCGACTACAATGTGCAAAAGCCAAAAGATTTGAATAGATTTTGCCAAGCCGGTAGCCATCATAATGAAGTAATGTAATTTAAGCATTCCGCTAACAACCCAATATTACTTCATTAGTCCATATTGCGAGAAAAAAGTTCAAAGTTTCTGGAATTCGAAACAATATTCACCATCGAATTTCAAAAACATCAACAATTTCAGGATTTCCACTTGTACAATAAGGCTAACCAACCTTTTGGGTGGGGATTATTTTTCAAAATCACTCGGGAACAGGTTTTCCCACGTAGGAAACGATTATTGGGACTTATTAAGTGACATATCAAAATTTTTGAGGTAGCGCAAAAGGTTTACTAAGTCCAAAATGTTGAACGATGAACTTTTTCAAATAATACATATGCTTCTATAAGTAAACACGTCCATGGCTCGATGAACGCACCTTATCTAGACAGTTATTCTCTGAGCATTATCAGGTCTTCCGTTGCGACCGCAATGCAACCAACAGCCACAAGTCCCACGGCGGAGGTGTGTTAATCGCTCTTGACTCCAAACTCAAAGTAAGAATGATCGAGAACGCTATGCGGGATTGTATCGAACAGATCTGGATTGAAGTAAAAATGGCCGATCATATGCTTTTCCTGTGTGCCGTGCACCCACGATTATGCGCTCATACGTTCTCATGCGCAGTCGGTTATGAGCGTTCTCGAAGAAGCTTCTGCAGTGGATGAAGTGATTATTCAGAGCTTTCAATCTTCCGGGAGTTGCATGGCGCCCGTTCTATAGCAGTTTTCTCCATCCTGACCTAGAACATTCGGTTCTGCACGCTGGATCTACTGAACTTATAGACAGCTACAGTGCAGCTACGCTACTGCAAATCAACAACGTCGTAAACGAAAACAACCGGACGCTGGATCTTTGCTTTATCAGTGAACGTGACTGTGCCCCTCCATTATCTGCTGCACCAGTTCCACTGGTGTAGGATACCGCTCATCACCCTGCTTTAGTGATTACTTTGGAGGAACGTCGCATCATCCAATCCACAGTTAGTCTCTCTACTGTTACCTACAATTTCCGGAGAGCCGATCACAATAGTATCGCTGAGGTCTTATCGATAGCACCGACGTGGAAATTGCCACACGGACTTTTGCTAATGTTCTGTCATGTGTTATCGTTAAGCATGTTTCCAGCAATTTTTCAGCGTGTTTGCCACCGAGAGTCCTAACAAGTTGCTATAGCTGTTTCCAATGTACCCATCTACAATCACGTACTGAACGAAATCCCGGTCGATGAAGTTCTCATCTCATCGGTAGCACCCAGGCTGAAATCTACTCACAATCCCGGACCAGACGGAATACCGTCCGTTTTCCTGAACGTGTTTACTGAAACCTCTGAGTCATCTCTTCGGATTGTCTTTGAGCACTGGAATCTTCCCGATCTGCTGGAAGAACGCACAAATGTATCCAGTTCATAAGAAAGGGGACAGGAAGGATGTAGACAACTCCCGTGGAATCACCTCGCTGTGCGCTATCTCAAAATTCTTCGAATTAGTTGTTATGGAGCCACTGTTATCGCACTGTAAGCAGTATCTTCATGAAAAACAACCGATCAACGACTACTAACCTGCTACGCTTCACCTCGTACGTTACGAGAAGCCTAGTTGAACGACATCTGACCGATGCAATCTACACCGACCTATCAGCAGCATTTGACAAGATCAATCACACTATCACCATCGTTAAATTGGAACGGCTAGGATGTCTACTTTATTGGTTCCAGTCGTATCTTATCGAACGCCAACTCAGTGTGTCTGTTGAGGATTGCAATTCGATTGCTTTCCCAGCGACTTCAGGTATTCCTCAAGGAAGTCACCTCGGCCCAATAATTTTCTTAATTTATTTCAACGATGTGAACTTTGTGCTAGAGACAACTCGTTTGTAAGTCGCTGATGATCTTAAGATTTTTCTCAAGATTCAAACGCATGCTGACGCTATGTTGCTACCAAATCAGATTGATAGATTCGGTGACTGGTGTGACTTGAACCGCATGACAGTAAATCCTAACAAGCGCTCGATAATCACCTTCTCTCGCAAAAAAGAGCCCTTAAAGTTCAATTACACACTCCTGGGTAATTCAATTGAACGAGTAAGTCATGTGAAAAACCTGGGTATTATCTTGGACTCACAACTGACGTTAAAACAGCACATTTCATTCATGGTAGACAAAGCCACCAGATCTTTGGGGTTAATCTTTAGGATAGCTAAGGATTTCACCTACGTGTACTGCTTTAAATCATGATACTATTCCCTAGTAATCCTGTCAAAAGAAAATGGTATTAAAACACCCTTTTCAAAAGTTACTATTGAGAAAAACAATACAAGTTGAACTTTGGTTAGGTCCTAAGTAACATTGTTCGATTCTCTTCGTCGACTTTATCTTTCGTTAATAACTTGAGCACATTATCGTTTCTTGTTGTGTTTGTCGTATTAGATGCTAGATAAAAGCTTCTTTTATCGATCTGTGTGGTTACAAAGAGAAAGTCGACGAAGAGAATCTGTCAATGTTACTTAGGACTTAATGCAATGTTCAGCTTGATTTTTTTTTTCATTATAGTCATAAAGGGCGAACACGAAATTATTGCGACACATTCAACAGGGCATAACTTTTTTACCATTGGGTAAAAATCAGCCAAATTTTGCACACTTTCTCATTGATGTGTATTGTGTACATGCTGTCAAACTCGAAGTCGTGTTTTTCGATTCAACGAAAATGGAGGTAAACCAACGCGAGTTGAGAGAACAAATTCTTTCCAAACACCTGGAATTTCCTGACCTGTCGCACCGGCAGTTGGGAAAAATGTTGAACATTCACCATTCAAACGTCTCCAGAGTGTTGAAGCGGTTCCAGTAGCGGTTGACGTTGGACCACGGCAAAGGAGCTGGAAGAAAACCGGGACCGGAGAACAAAAAGACGGAGGGAAAGGTGAAGCGGATGATTAAAGCAAATCCCAACGTCTCAAGCCGTGATTTGGCTAAAAAGATCGGCATGTCGCAGAGCTACGTCCAGAATGCAAAGAAGAGAGCTGGACTACATACATACAAGGTACAGAACTTCCCAAACCGCGATGAGCGGCAACAATCGACGGCTAAAACTCGGGCACGGAAGCTCTACGAGAAGATGCTGACAAAATATGGCTGCTGTGTGATGGACGACGAAACGTATATATTTAAAAGCCGATTTTAAGCAAATTCCGGGGTTGGGGTTTTTCACCGGCAAGAGCAAGTTCGATGTGGACGACAAATTTAAGAAGAAGAAAATGTCGAAGTTCGCCTACAAATATCTCATTTGGCAGGCCATCTGCTCTGACGGACTGAGGAGTGAGCCTTTCGTGACAAAGGGCACAGTAAATGGCGAGATCTACAAATCTGAGTGCCTCGAGAAGCGCCTTTTGCCGTTCTTGCAGCAGCACGACGAAGCTCCGCTATTTTGGCCAGATTTGGCATCATGCCACTATTCTAAAAGTGTCCTGGAGTGGTATGAGGCCAATTCTGTCCATTTTGTTCCAAAGGACATGAATCCGCCAAACTGTCCGGAGCTGCGCCCGGTGGAGCAGTACTGGGCGATAATGAAGCGGGAACTTCGGAAGAGCAAGAAGACAGTCAAAGACGAGAAGGACATGTTAAGAAAATGGAAAAAAAAAACTGAGAAACTGGTACCGGATGACACTCCCCCTTATTCTGCGAGTCACGTGACTCTCTCTCACCGGTGAGGTGACAATTGTCACCTCGTGTGAGGTGACTCTCCATGCAAATCAAATGGAGAGTCACCTCACACGAGGTGACTATTGTCACCTCACCGGTGAGAGAGAGTCACGTGACTCGCAGAATAGGGGGGACTGTAAAGACTTTGATGGAGGGCATCAAGCGAAAATGCGTTCAATTTTACACTCAAGGCTCCATCGATTAACTTTTCTTTTGATTTTTGAAGTAAATATATGTATAAAACTACCCTAAAATTTTGGTTTGATTCTAAACATTATAAGAAAATTGGCATGACATTTTCGGTGTCGCAATAATTTCGTGTTCGCCCTTTATTAACACTCTTGGGTCATTCGTGACTTGTCCGGCGTGAAAGGTATGGATGTTAACCACTACGCCGGGGTCGCCCCTTGTTCAGCTTGAATATATTTAGATGAAAAAGGTAACCATTGGTAGTAGCAAACATGAGCAATATTTCATTCAAATCGGAAGGGGTCGAGGCAAAACTGATATATTTTTCCGCGTTTTGGGCTGGAAATGCTCAATATACATAATTAAACTAAAACAGCTTTCAATAATTTTCAATTTCCTCCATTCCACCAGATTTCATCACCCGCAACCCCTCGGCAAGGAAGCTTCATGCTGTCATACAGCAGTTTGCTCTGGCACGGGTCGACTATAGGGAAGCAGCATGCCTGAAAGCATTAATCTTGTTTCGATCCGAAAACTCAAATCTCTACTCGGCCCACGAAATTCTCCTGCTGCAAGATCAAACCATAAGCCTGCTGCACGAAAAATGCGGGGGCGTCCGGCTGGGACATCTGCTGCTACTCCTGCCCTGCATCAAATCGGCAGCGAATCCCAAAACCCTGCAAGAGATGCTGTTTCGAAAAACCGTTGGCGAGGTAGCCATCGAACGATTGTTGGGGGATTTGATGAAAACTTAAATACCTATACCTACGTAATTCGGATATCATTCTAGTCATGTAGCGTTTATTGGATGTGATTCAAATGCATTTTATTGTGGTAGACAGATAGCAATAAATATTGGAACGGTTTACTCAACCTCTTCCTTGACTGTTTTGGAGCAAGATTTTTTGTGTTTGAGAATTTCTATCGATGACAAATGGAGAGTGTTCCCACAAACAGGGCATTCGAATTGCTTTGATCCGGGTTTATGTCTGCTGCTAGTCGACGGAGTCTCAGCCGGGGACGGTTCTTCCGATGGATTCTCTTTGCAAACTGAAATGATCAAACTGAGTATGGTTCATGTTTGTTGAGAATGAGACATTGTTTTACCTATTTTATGTTGCAATTTTTGAAGCCCGGTCAAATTATACGTACAACTACAAGTAGTACATTCCCAATCGTTGGACACGATATCGTCGAACATTTGCATACTCCAATCAGTTTCATTGACACTAAAATTATTAAAAGTTACAAAATTTGAGCTTTATTCGTTAAACCTATCCATCTTTACCATCCATAAAGAATATTCTCCGTAATATGCAGTCCCCCTTTCGTATCATTTACGACCGGTAAGAATTCTTCTGTAAACGGATTAGGATCGACTTCCAAGTTGTGCTCAGCTGATGGTCCTTTGTACATGGTTTTAACGTCAGCAGGAAGTAGTCGTTTCAAAGTGTAGCATACCTCAGTATTCATAAACTGTGCTAGATCATGCCACAATTCATAGTTCATCTGTTCAATCGATTTTTCACGTTCGCTTCTAGTTAGTTCCTCATCGGCTGTATGATTTAGGACTATAAAAAACGTGCTTTCATGATTAAAATAACCCCAAATTATTAATGGATTACCACACCTTTCAACTTCTCTGCCAACATTTTGTTCCAGAGACGTCTCAAACTTGAAGCTTTGAACAGCAAAGTTTGACCGCTTTCAGGAGACGGGAAATCGAGGCATAACCAAGAGTCGCAAATCAACCGAGAAAACGTTAGATTGGTGTCGATTGTATGTGCAAAGAGTAGCAGAGTTTGAGCTGCTGGCATTCGCAATGTATTCATCAAATAAGTTTTGTTCGTTTCCAATAGCGTTAGATAACAGAGAATTTGATGCCTGGAGCTTAACGGTTGTCGCGACTTGTACAATCCAGTCTTATCTACAATATCATCATCCCGCAGTTGAAGAACATCGGTATTGTTGCCAAAATAGCCCATTGGATGAAGCGAAACGTAAGGTTTGGTTTGTGTATGGAAAAATTGCTCGGTGGGACTCTGCAAAAGACACTTGTTTTAAGAAAAGCGCAACCCAATGTTAATTGGTTGTCATCATACCTTGCAATAGTTGTAATCATCTGCAATGGCAACCTGTGGATACAATCCACTAACCAGAATCAGTTTCAATGTCATCAAATCCCGATAACTGCAAGCGGTAGCTCCGGACACCAAGTCCTGGATTTTCGACGAATCGTGGCTCAACCGAAATTCCACATCCCTGATGTCAACTTTTCCATCATCTTCCTCGCCCTGTTCAAGCCCCCAAGGATCCGATTTCAACAGTTTCCGCTTCCTGGGCGCCTCCATGCGATGTTCTTTTCTCAGTTCCTTCAGCTGCTTTAGCTCTCCGTGACGGATAGCCCGCTCAGCGCTGGTCATACTGTCCGTGTTTCCGCTCTCCATCAGACCGCAATCTTGCAGCAAATCTTGAAATTGACGCCTCAGCTTGGTGATTTCATAGAACCGCTGCTCCTCGAGGCCACGTCTGCGGCACCAACTTTTGGAACTTTCATGCTGTTCGTTTCTTCTGTATTCGAAGCGATTTTGCTTCAGCTCCAACCATTCCTTGTAGGCGTTCAGAAGCATGACTGGATCGCCGTGATCCGATTCAAATGATTTACGAGCGCGCTGTGAATAAGAGTGGTCGATGAACAACATTGTATAAGCCATGCAGTTGACTACAGCTTCAGAAACTCCCAGATCATAGTTTTATACAGCCCTATATCATAAATATATCTTTCCCAGAATGTACTAGCTCATCATCATCATCATCATCATCATCATCATTATATCTTACCATACTTCAATATCTTACCTCGCATTCTGGCTCCCGATAGGCACGGTTTGTAAACGGTGACTGAACACTCAACGTCGCAGCTAGAGTCAACACCGGTTGCAGTTGTTGAAATACACATCCCATCAGCAACATCTTTCCGATACCGATATCCACTGGAATTTTCGCCAATGCTTTTCCCAGTGGAGTTAGCTTTTCGTCCGCCATTAGTGCCTCCTGTCAAAAGAAAATGGAATTTTATCAAAATCGCTACTATGCCCTAAAACTCTCATCCTCTTACATGATGCTTCAAATTCATGATGGCATTTTCGATATTTTCGGCCGGTGGTGCTTCGACGAACGGAAACATTCGAGCATTCGGCAGTCCCATCGAAATCATCTGCAGCAACAGCGATTCTAGCGGTACCTTCAATATCTCTGCCGTAGTGTACGATTCAAAATCGGAGAACTGTTTTTCCGCATACAATCGATAGCAAATACCGGGACCCGTTCGACCTGCTCTACCTTTGCGTTGCTCCGCCGAAGCCTTGGAAATCCAAAACTCTTTCAGCCTTTGCATTTTCGTAGTAGCATCGTAGCTCATTTCCTTCACCTTGCCCGAATCGATGACGAACCGTATTCCATCGATAGTCACCGATGTTTCTGCGATATTCGTCGATACGATACACTTTCGCATTCCGTCCGGTGCGTAGTCGAACACTTTGTCCTGTTCGGCGATCGAAAGGGTACTATGCAACGGAAGGATGATCCAGTTTTTGTTCTTCTCAGCGTACTCTTTGACAGCGTCTACTATCGACGTAATCTCGTTTAGACCACTGAGAAAAACCAGGACGTCACCCTTTTCCGTTGGTGGATACTTTTGGTCGATCATCTGCAAGATCTGAATGTATGGTTCCGGACTGATGCGATCACTTGTTTTCTGTTTGCTTTTTCCACTGCTGGTGGTAGGAACATCCTGAATTTGTGGCATGTAATGCAACTTGATAGGAAACAGCCGTCCAGGTACCTCGATGATTTGAGCTTTCTCTTCGGCGAAATAGTCACCGAAGAGTTTGATGTTGATCGTAGCTGACATCAGGACTAGTTTTATGTCTGGCCTACCCCTTATCAAGCATTTCGTAATTCCGAGCAAGAAATCTCCATGTAGATGTCTTTCGTGAACTTCGTCCAGAATTATAACCGAATACTGAGAGAGATTTTCTTCCGTAGAAAGTTGTCGTAGCAATAGACCTTCCGTAATGAACAGTATATTCGTCTGCGAACTTTTACTTCTTTCGAAGCGAATCTGATATCCAACTTGTGTCCCATATTCGCACAGCATTTCGTGGGCAACACGTTTGGCAAGCGATATGCATGCAATCCGTCGAGGCTGAGTACACGCAATCTTATCGAACCCAGCGTGAAACAGATACTGCGGCACCTGGGTAGACTTACCGCAACCCGTATCACCAGCTAGTATAACGATCGATTCGTTCTTTACAGCCGCTACGATTTCATCTCGATGCTTGGCTACCGGTAGATTTGCCTGAGCATTTCGAAGCTTTCGTAATTTGTTGAACCGTTCCTTCTGCCTGAAATCCAAATAGTGTACTACAATCTGTAGAAACTGCTTCAACTTTAGCTCAGTTATCTTTCCGCTTTGGTTATAGTGCTGTAGTCGACTGTACAGCTCTGCAAATGGCACCGAAATCTTCAACGCTGAGCAGAATGCCTTATCGTATTGATTCGGACTTGGATCAATATCCGTACGCGAAGCAGTTGGATCCACTGGTGCCGGAAGAATACATTGTCCTGATCGCTTCAAAAGGGTTTCGTACTTGTTCAGAAACAGCCAAAAATCATTGGGATCGGTTACAAGTTGGTCTCGACTGCAGTAACCAAGCAGAACTCGATTCAGGGCACTTTTGTGATCAAGAAAGGTGAAGTTGACTAAATTGGTTTCTTCCTGGGTACGTTGTGGTGAAGTTGAGTTTGAACGACGGCACCGACTTTGCCCCGACGTTTCGGGTTTGATCGAATGTTGCGCTGAATAACTGGTGCCCGGACTAGAAAGGTCCATCTTGGAAGGTTTTCGCTCGGGGCTTGCAGGGGTGACATTTTCTCGCTTCAAGTTGCTACAGTCCGGCTTAACATACTTTTGAGCGGAATGGGAACGTTCCGGAGTGCGTGAACGAGATCTTTTGCGCCGTTTGGGTGACCGAGATTTCGAATAGTTTCCCTGATGTGTTGAATCGTCTTCTCGATAACGAGAGGAATGAGCCCTTCGCTCGTAATCTCTACGTGAAGACAGATCTCGATTGCTCATAGTCTATACAGTAAATAATAAGATAAATAAAAGGAGCACAATAAAAAATTATTTCTCTATTTCTGCCATTTCTGCAGGCCAACATCATGGTGGGTAGCCACCTTGGCCAACATATGTTAGGGAGGATCTTTTTAGTACGTCATTCGAAATTCTAGAAAAATCAACCCCTGCTCCCTAATTTTGTGTTTTCGTACACTCATAGGCAACATAATGTGCCTACCCTCATCGATTTTTTAATTTTTCTTATACATTTGGTTCAAATTAAAGTAAACACACTGTAGTCTTTTTTGATACCTTTTTTTCGTATTTTTTTAAGGATTCACTTTTAGAATACTGAAAAAAGAGTTTAAATTAAAGAAAAAAAAAAAAATCAATTTGCATTGCAAAAAAAACAGTGACAAATTTTTTTTATTGTCCTAGAGCTCTTCAAAACGGTTCTTTGGACGGACGAATCAAAATTTGAGCAGTTTAACCGAAAGCGGCGGGCTCGTGTGTGGTGCAGATCGGGTGAGGAGCTTCAGGAGCGCCAACTATACCACAAATGGTTTGGAGCGCCAACTATACCACAAATGGTTTGGCCAGCGTTGAACTATACCACAAATGGTTTGGATGATACACCGAGCACGTCGTTAAGCAAATTAACCATAACGTTTTTATTAGGGAAGGCAAGGTGAATCATGGAGGAGGAAATGTGATGGTCTAGGGGGAGGGGGAGGACGGCTTTAATGCGAGTGTGTCTTTAGCCATTTATTATGGTCACTTTAACGCTCTTGGGTCCTTCGTGACTTGTCCGGGGTGAGATTTAAACTCGTGACTTTGGCGTGAGAGGTAGAGACCTTTTTGACGTTTAATCGTTTTTCTCTATCTAGCACACAGGGATGAATGAATGGTTTATTTTCCTACTAATCTCGCATTTTTCCCTTCGCACTCCTTCAATTCAAATGGTGCATTAGTGTGCGCCGATTAAACGTCAAAAAGCTCTATATGGATGCTAACCACTCCGCCGTATATATAGTCGCTTTATTCATAGTCTGGCGGATAGGATTTCGGGAACCAATTGAGCTGTCAAAGAGCGGAACCAATCGAGCAAATCACGACCAACAACAGAAAAGAGCACATCAGCTATTGCGAACAAAACTTCGGAAACCGTTTTCTCGTGATTCAAGGCTCGCCTACGTAAACTAACACTATCTTTGGGTTGGGGAAAGATTCCTCTATCCGATGATGCCGGTAATTTGCGTTCGATTGTCGAGGAAAGAATAATCGACGTTTTGTTTATACAAATTGATAGGACGCTTTTCAATTGTTGGTCTACAATATATTGAATTGGTTCCGCTTTTTGATAGATCGTAATTCTATCCGCCAGACTATGAATATAGCGACTATACTCCGCCGGGGTCGCCCCTGGAAAAAAAAAGAACGAGGAATATCTCGCGCAACATTTGAAAAGGGCCTATAATCAAAATGTAAACAAATCGGTTTTCAACACCATTCTATAGCACCGTTTGATAGCTACCATTCGTGCAGGAATGTTCCGCATAACCGATAAAAATCATTATAAATAACTCGATTTTCAAAACGGCCGATCAATGATATTTGTCGAAACATTTTGGCCCACGCGCTAAAACCATAGAGGTAACTCTAAGACCAGAAGGTCCCGAAGAAACGTGCTCAACTTTTTTGCTCAGCTCTGGTACTCTCTTCGCTCAAGCTAATCGATGCATCCCTCGAAACATATGGCAATGCACGAACCCCTCATTTTACTTGTCAAACTTTCATAGCGAATCAAAACAAACATAGTGTAGTACTAGAATTTCGACTAGAATAAGGTACGTTAATCGATTTGCCTGGGACGAATAGGCTGGTCAAGTAGTGAACCAATTAAAATCGTTAGTTTCCACCGGTTGCTAAAACAACGGACAATGAATTATTTGGGTGTTGGGTGCTGAGATACAGATAATTATTGCCATACTGAACTGTACAAATGCTAAAAAAAAAATCGATTTTCTTATATACACACAAAGAACATATATTGTTTTAATAAAAATAATGCATTCGTAAATTAAAAGTTTCCCGAAATTCGTAATTTTAGCTATGAAAATAATATTCAAAACCAAAATTATGCTTTTGATTAAAAGTGTTTCTTACACCTTCAACTTGTTAATTTTAAAAGTGCATTTTTTAAAAGAAAAGTTGTTAAACTGTCAAAAATACCTCTTCGCAGCGACTTACTGGCAGCACTGAACAGAGCCAGCTCATTTGGCTCATTTGCAGTCTTCATGCCGATCTGGTCGCTATAGTAGAAATTCGATAATAATCTTTGAAAAAAACTCTCATTTCTGTTGCCATTTCCAATGTTGGCCATGTTTCAATACAATATAGATTGATATTGTTCCTGCTTAGGTTTAGGTAAGTAACATATTAATGAGTTTTTTTTTATCCAAAATAATAAATTTTATTAAATTCCTGTGCTGCCCAATTTCAGGTTGTGATTATGTCTCTTCCATAAGTTCCATTCACCAAACGTTAATCCGGATCTCCTATCTAATGTCGTTTTCGTTTTTGCGGTGTAGCACTGGTGTAGTGTAAGCAGGGATAAGCGCGAGTCTTTGACAGCTCAACATCATTTGTTTGTAAACAAAGGTGCATCCTATATCTACATCCTAAAATATTTCGGTGTACGGCAGTGTAGCACCGGTGTAGCTCACCGCAAAAACGAAAACGACATAAATGATTATGTATCGAGTCGGTCGTCAAGTCGAAGGGAGTTCTTCCATAGAGGTAACTCTAAGACCACTGGGTCCCGAAGAAAATCATTATTATTTTTGGCTCACTCAGTACCAGAACAACGGTCCCCAGCAGTCCCAAGCTATTTCACTCACCCCTGCATGTTCTGCATGAATCCACACACCCCTGATGTTATCTGTCAAACTTTCATAGCGAATCAAAACAAACATAGTGTAGTAATAGAATTTCAACTAGAATAGGGTACGTTAATCGTTTGCTTGGGACCAATAGGCTACTAAAGTGGCGAGCCAATTTAAAATCGTTAGTTTCGTATTGATTGTTGGTTCTTCTCCGGCCAAGGTCACGATCAACATAGTCCACATCAGTCGCTGTTGGTAGGCAGTTCGGATGACTACACCAAAGATGAATACTAAGATGAAACTGTCGGAAGAAAAACTTTCTATTTTAGTGTCCTCTTTCACGGTCCCTTTCATCCATTGAATACCCCTCGTATTCAAGGTAATTTTTTGGTTTTTCTGCCCCCTTGGTAGAGATGAAATTTTGCGCGCTTTTTTATCAAATCAAACACACCAAAATCAGAGGTGTCCCATTTTTTAATTATTCGATTAACAACTACTAATCGATTTTTTTTTTTGTTCGCTGTGCTGCCATTTTTCCACCAATGAGAGTGCAGCACTTGTTTAAAACGATCGGAAGATGAATGTGAAACGTCATTTCAAATATATGGACCGTACATAAATAATGATACAATTTGAAAGGGACCGGGGCTCATCACAAATTACGTCCACACGGTAACTGAAATAAACACGAGTGTTCACCGGTTGACTACACCGCTATGGAATTTGATTTATCCCCAACCGTGGTGCTACTTCTGGCACGGATTTGACCATAGAAGTTAAGCAATCCATTTACATGACAGAGAGAATACAAACCCGCGCAGGCGAATCGAGTATTAAATCATAGCTAGAAAGGTTAGTATTTATAACTAGCAAATCTCGTACCAAATAACTAAACGAAGTTTTTCCGCCAGGTGAAATTATCCCTATAGACGATATGAAAGCCGCATCCACGGTTGCGTCCCCAGTATCCGAATCAAAGGAAGGAGCTGTTTTGGCAAGCGAACAGCCCGGGAATTCTAGCTAAACATAATGTGGAAGCCGCACGGAAAGCTTTTCGCTATGTTCCAGTGGATACGATCCAGCAGATCAGTGATGGAATACTAAAACGAAAACCCATTGTGACTCGCGAATTTCTCCTGAACTCTAAAGCTACAGCCGAGGCTACAGCAGATCACTGATAGCTTACACGGAAGGAAGAAGCCAGCATTAAAGATCCAGATATATTATTAAATCAACAGATAAGATGAATAAATTTGTTATAAAAGTATAATATTTATGCGAATAGTTAAAAATATATCAGGCATAACATTTGATAACGGCACAAAAGCATTTGTAAACAAACTTTCTAAGGCCCTTTACACGCGAACCAAAGTACGCCCACGCAAACCAACAACATCATCGGATAGGGGCATCTATCTCCTTTCCGAAAGTGGTATTGGTTTGCGTGGGTGTACTTTGGTTCGCGTGTAAAGGGCCTTAGAAAGTTTGTTTACAAATGCTTTTGTGCCGTTATCAAATGTTATGCCTGATATATAATAAAAAAAATGCTTCTACTATACCATCAAGTTATTACAATTTAAAATGAAAAATATATTGTTATTTAGAAAATGCTTTTATTTGAATCGATTGTATTTGTTTTTTAATTAAAATCAGCTCATTTCATTTCAATTATGTTAAAATTTCATGACCAAAGCTTGTTTCGAAACAAACCTAATTTACTTTTATTTTCAACACTGTCATGTTTTTCATTTGACAGTAGTACAATTCATTTTGAAGTTTAAACTTTTAAAAGCAGCAAGTGGACTACTTTTGATTTGACAGTTGGCTGAACCAACGCCAATTTTTAAATCTACCAACGTTTCTTTTAATTTTAGCAACAATAATTTTGTGTGTGTAGGAATAAAAATAGGCAGATTATTTACAATTCATGTTCTGGTTTGTTTATATTTTTCAAATGTTACGCGAGATAGGAATTAAAATGATTAAAAAGAGCGAGAAAAAGGCAACGATTATTTACAACCCATTTTCTGGTTTGTTTACATTTTAGTTGTAGGCCCTTTTCAAATGTGAACTGCTCGGGGTCTTCATCGAAATTGCCGTAAAAAATTGACATTTTCAGGAATCCATCTGAGTTTCGGACCAGCCTGGAAATTCTTGTGGAAGCACTGCATCTACTCTTCAATGCTCTTTATATCTTCGTCGCATATAGTACACCATCAGGAGCTGTCAACTTGAGTATTTTAGATTCATCTACCCGACTTGAAAAGGTGTATTGTATTTATGTATTTTTAAGTTTTGTGTATTTTTGTATTATAGTGTATTCAATTCATTATGAAAGGAATTTTTCGTGTAAAAAGTATTTTCGATGCATTTTTGCTTATTTTTTCGGCTATTTTAGTTTCCGTGTGTACCCATTTACGTATTTTTGTGTGTATTTTCCGAAGTGTGTATTTACAGTTCAGCTAAATTTATGAAGTTGATCGTCCCCCGGTACACCAAGAGCCTGCACCGAGGCCTGCACAGTGGACAGCTCATGTAGTGCGTGGTCGAACAATAAACATCCGTTCCGGTACCTCTGGTAGTTCCACCAAGCTTCATGGCGGGCATTCAGGTCTCCCCCAACGATGAATCGGGAGCTAGTACGAGTGATGGCGGTTAGGTCGTTCTTGAATTGGATTCCTAGTCCGTTGCTTGCGGCACACTGGCAGTAAACAGTGATAAACCGGACGTTTCCAGTTGGTGATTCCACATCCACACTAACGGCCTCGATGATAGAAGTGCGGATGTGGGGCTGGGTGCAGAACTTTATTGCCTTTCTCACGATGACCGCTACACCAGTTGGTGCGATCAAGCCAGATAATGTTGTGGTCAGGCAACCAGAAGCTGTCGACGGACTTTAAATGGGTCTCGGTTAGAAGACCCACGTCGATGCTTCGTCCGCAAGCTCAATCTGTTTTGCTCTTACAGAGCAAGCGTTTCAGGTAGCGATAGTTAGCGGTTTAGACACCATACTGGATAATGAACTTACCGAGCATTTGGATCTGTTCGGGCTTATTGGCGTTGACGGCGACTGTGTAGCTCTTTACTCCTATGATAAAATTCATAAGCAAACGTCAGACTGTGCGTGAAACATGGCGGACTTTGTACTATTCTTTCACTCCACCGAAAAATCCCATAAGAAACTGTAAATCTTTGCTAGAAGAAACAATTTTTCGACGGTGCCGTCAACGCCAATTGCGGCACTTAAGGTTGATGCATATATTATGTCACGCTCTAGGGGGGAGGGGGTCTAAGATTTTGTGACAAGCAATGCATTAGGCATAGGAAAAACGTCACGATAGGGGGGGGGGTAAATTTCTCCTCGATTTAGCGTGACATAATTAATGCATGGGCCCTTACGTAGAGCACCGGTCATGTGGATGAAAATTTCCATAAGTTCATCTCGAGGTTCATCTGCTGAGAACAGATCGGGGTTGTTGTTTTGAATTGTTGGTTGTCTCCAGAATCCAGGGGGGGAAGGGGATGAAGAGCTTTGTCCAGCAGAAGATCCAGTTGAGGGGAAGCGAATCGCACCCGCGAATTCGCTTGTCCGTGAAGAGGCGGAAAGTCCTCCGCCCTGAAAGCTAGGGCCTTATGGTTCAATTTACTTTGATGCATTTTCGAAAAATTCAAAAGCAGTTTTTTTCGAAGAATCACTTTAGGTTGCAAAAAGTTTGCGTCATTCTTTTCTTTGACGCGAGCTTTTTGCAATCTGAAATGATGCGTCGAAAAAAACTGCTTTCGAATTTTTCGAAAATGCATCAAAGTAAATTGAACCTTATCCTTTCTTCGTCCTGGTGATTGTTGGTGGACGCCTGTTTTCGGATGCTATTGAAATCCTCGCGTTTAGGGCACTGCTTGTCGGATCCTTGGTGAGCACCACCACAGTTGGCACATTTGGACGCCACAGCTTCATCTGCCGCACATTCGGAGGTGGCGTGGTTTTGATCGCAATTGCCACAGCGTGACTTATAGCGAATTTGTTTATTACCGGGGTTGGAACCAGTTCCAACCCAGTGTGAAACCGAACTTTTTGTCAGTGCGAACCTCAACCTGAGGTGGGTTTGAAAAACGAACGATTAAACTGACGTTTGTCAGAAAACAAGTAGAGCCGATCTTGATACCCGATCCAGGTTAGAACTGAATAATAAACAAATTCGCTATTAATGTTACAGTTTTGGGTGCCGTGTCCAAAGTTCAGACACCGTTGGCACCTCGGTTGGTACTGAGTCACAACGCGATGGCCGCCACGATATGGCTCCCAGCGGACGATGATGAAATTGATGGAGCGGATGGCTTTCAGCGCGTTGAGCGTCACCGTTCCTTTCTGGAAGTGTACCAGGAAAAGGCAATTCCGATACGCCTTCACATTCTCGTCCTTCCTTGTCATCCGAAAGACGGCACTTGAGGCCAGCTTGTACCGGTCTCTGATTTCAGCTTCGATAAACTTCGGGTCGAAGTTTGGTAGTCCCCTGATGACGACCTTGAACGGTTTCTCATCGCGAATGTCGTGGGTGAAGAATTCCACGACCAAGTCATACTCCGCTTCCGAATTTAATTATTATCGGGGTTGGATCCAGTTCCAACCCAGTGCGAAACCGAACTTTTTGTCAGTGCGAACCTCAACCTGAGGTAGGTTTTAAAAACAAACGATCAAACTGACGTTTGACAGAAAACAAGCAGACCCGATCTTGATACCCGATCCAGGTTGGAACTGGATAATAAACAAATTCGCTACTAGTGCTTCTAGCTGTGTCGGGATTGCCCCTCACGAAGTAATGGGATTTTGTTCTCATGCTCTCTTCTCTACTATCATCTCTTCCATGTTTCACGCTAACTACATGCTACGCATATTAAATGTTTAATTACTTGATTTAATTCTCAAATTGTTGTACCTCCAAATAAAGTTATCAATTATTTATCATAATAATTAAAATACTATTTTAAAATAAACACTGAATTGGTACGCAGTACGCAGTAATTTTTCGGCTTCTCGTCGAAAATGCTCCGCTAAAGAATGAGCCTCCTGTCCTGACATCAAAGTCAAGTCTAACGGCAAACAACAATTTTTGTTCTTTGTGTGTATGTACAATTTAGCAGGAGATTTTTTTAATGAATATTTACTGCGATTATGAAAATATTTGTCTTAGAAAAAGTACATTTCAACTATTATTTAAAACGGCTTTGGAGACATGAAACCCGCAGTGAGTTTTTTCTTATTTGCGTGTTACTTGGGTGACGTTCTCGGATGTCTGTTGTTATGCATTAAAGATAGTTGAACTCAGTATTCGGGGTCATTTATATGGGGCCATATGAGAGGTATAGGAGGCCCCGTTCAATGTTAATGGTATTTCGCAAACAAACCGCCATATCCGTGTAGTGCTGCAATCCTGCAATATGTCTATGCATATGACTATGCCGTGCCCAAAATAATGAAACTCAACATTTGATAACAATCAACGACTTTATAGAGATTGCTGATATGATCCAAAAGCCACGTACATTTTATTATGACCCTATATTGGCCTTCATTGTTCATCTGACATAATTATTATTACACTTTAGCAAACTCTACCGTTCCTTATTTGTAATCGGTAGAACACTTCGTGGTATGTATTCATTCTCGTCTAGATTTCCGTTTACACAAGAAGTTCTGGTTTTGTAGGAACTGTGATATGGAACACTAAACAACAATTGTTCGCTATAAACAAAAAATATATTCTATCAACCGAATAATCGCTAATTTTTGGTCCAAAGAGGAAGTTAAAACTGTAACGCCAGGCTACTTATTGCAATAAGAAGACTAGAAATGGGTTAAAGATTAACAAGTTTCTGTCAAACTTAATACTTTTATAGTCAATTTCTCATATCTGGACAGGTTGGCGTTAACGAACAGTGAATAATAACAATCAAGAATGAACGAATTAATTCACGATAAAGAATATCCACCGGGTGGGGTGCTACATATGGTCTCGATAGATATTGTATGTTAGTATTTGTTTCAATGTTATTTTATTATAAGGCAAAGAGATGTGTGTGTTGTAGACAGTTCCGTGTAATAAAACTGGACTAAAACTCGACCTGCTTGTTAACGTTTCTACGATTTTAAAATGTTTTTGAGCATTTCGTTTCTTCCTACTATAAAGTTCACTATGGTTTTGTTTGTTATTTTGATGAAACTCTAAAGCGCAAAATCCCTACAATGAAGAAGAAGAAGAATAATGGTCGAATGAATGAGTGATTTTACTGCACGACACCGAATCGAAGTGAGGAAAAATGTTTGAGTAGCTAAATCCTATATTAACATGATGAAAAGTACGTTATTTAACGTACTAACTGTTGATTTTAAAAATCGTAATAAGAAGAGAAAACGTCTGCTACTAATCCTATCACTAACTTTCAATAAATAGATGTTTTAAACTACTGCACGCCTCTGTTGAATGCTATATAATTTGGTTCAATATGTTTTAGCCCTACAATCGTTAAACTCGAATGTTGCTGTCTAGAGCTATGCTGCTGCTTCAATGAGTAAGTTTTTGATTGTAATTGATATTTCAACGTTCGCTAGTTGATCATAAATAGTGTATAGTTAAATTTCGCTCCTCTATTTGATTTTAACTATGTATTATGCCGTATTTTGTAAAGTTAAGTCAACTGCTAACTACTGCCGTTGTACATGTATATTAGTGTACCTACGCATTCGCCTACCGTTTCTAACGGTTTTCTACAGATGCCTAAGTCCAGGGCAGAAAGTTACTGAAGAGAATTGTGCCAATAACGGCATAACCTACGAAGTACAGTAAAATGACTAATTGTTTTAAATTCATCGTTCTTAAGTCTAAAATTTCACTCAGCTCAACGGAGTTCTCCACGTGAGTGCATGGTTCGGTTCCATCCTCGACCTGTTTGGAGAGTTTTCTGATCACTTGCCGCCGGATGAACGCTTTATCGCCGGTGAAATATTCGGCAGCGAACCAATACAACACTGGACTCGCGGAGGCCAGCATTCGTGTTGTGACCTGGACATGCACGAAGAGAACACTGAACAGTGCCAGAAACAGTGCATGAACGATAAACACAAACGCCAACCGGTCGTAATTTCGCATGCATTTCACCTGCTTTTTGCTAACTCGGAAAAGGCCCAAACGGGCGCAAAAATCCCAGTTATCGTGGATATATTTGCACGAGTTGCTGACTATTAGATAGATGGCTGGTAAGGCAATTAGAAAGTTCGGTAACTGTTTCAACTCGTAGTACTTCATAAATCCTACATTCCAATAGTGGCTTTGTACGTAAGAATAAGATAAAGGCAAATAGTTTGAGCACCAGGGCGACGATTCACTTGTTTTGTTGCCAGCCAGCACCAGATTTTTCGTGACTGCATACGCTTTTACGTGCGGTGGGAAACTAAATTTCTGCTCGAAGCAAAACAGGTAGTAGCTGTAGACTTGCGCTATGCCGTAGTGGAAGATGATGATAATCAGAATCGAAAATAGCTTCGATCCAATACAGATAATATTGTGGAAGGAGTTTTGCGACAGGATTCGACGTATGTAGAAAAACAGCAAAAACCCGATATTGAGCATTCCTAAAAGTAGAGATAAGTATTGTCATCCCATATGCTTGGCAAACATTACAACCATCACTTACCATTTGATCGGCACAGAATGCTCAAACTCAACGGGACAGTTATCAATATAGAATTGATGTCGTCGATGCATTGTACCATCACGGTGAACGACAGCCACGAGAATAGGCTTTCCGTGTACGGAGCAGTGAAGAAGATCGACGACGGATTGAAGCAGAACAATATTACGGCTAGTTCGCTCTTTTTCTTATTGCCCAACACCATATTGCTTAGTTTGTAAAGGGCTTTCGCTGCCAGTACGAAACACACCACGTTCAATAGTACGGCCAGCACTAGTGAAAGCTCTCGATATGATATCAACGATGAGCTTCCTCCTAGGACACTAGTGACGATTTTGATGATGAATGGAAACAGCGGGAAGAATGCCAACGTATTCTCGTACGAATAGCCATGCTCGGAGATATGCAGCATGTATTGAGAATCCCAGCGGTGTAATCCTCCTAGTAGGGCATCCACTAATCCATCCAACTTTCCTGGAGGTGCCTCAGGATCGCGGGGAGCAACAAACACTCCCGCTTCATGATCAGGGATCAAATGGTTTGATATGATTTGTATGACTATCACCAGCAACCGACTCAGCAGTGCCAGGGACGTAATCGAGATGTACAAAGTGGGCTTGTGAGCGGCTGCTTTTGCCGCAGCTGAAGGCATTTGTGAGGAAGATTGATTGTGCTGCTGTTTGTGACTATGATGATTGTGATGGTGTTTTGTGCTGTTTTGTTGCTGGTCCTTGGAATGGGTTGTTACTTGGTGATTGCTATTTTTGGTCATTTTGGTACTATTCAACTGTATCTCACTCACATTAAAACACTTTCGCTTTTATTTCACTGTGACTGCCGGATTCGATATTTCAAGAGACACCCGTTCGTGCAATTATGCCGTTGGATCCTAAAACGGGAAGAACATTTTAAAGCTGTACTATTAATAAAAACACCAATTAGTATTTATTTAACAAATTGAACGTTTTAGGATCCAACGCAAAATGAAACAATATAATACAAGAGAATAAGAAAAAATACCTATAAATTGCATCAAAATTTAATAATCATTATGCAACACATCCTTAAATAAATACGAACGATTCCCCAGCAACGCAAATGAACAAAAAAAAAGCCTTCCTGCACGTTCAGAAGCGCTATTAATGTGGGTTACCTATTTATATTTTCATTGGAATCATATTTCACGCCCTTATCAGCGTTTCATCAAAATATAGCTACTGAACAGAAACACACAACTCACCTTTTTATTTTTTTGGCGCTTCAAATTTTTCTAAAACGGCTTGAATTTTCGGCTGGTGTCCGGTTGAGCTTGGTCGGGGTAATCACTAGGTGGAAAATGGGAACATTTACCAACCAAATCGGGGCAAATTTAATACAATAAACTAGAAAAAATAAAATGAAAAATGTGCTGCTTCACTGTAGAGCCCGACATGTTTTGATAATTTGACGGAATGGACCTGGATTTTTGCGTGCACGCCGCACAAAAAAAAACAATTTGGGGATTCGGCTCGGCAGGTCGAACTGACTTGACACACATTATGTGCACTCAAAAATATTACAAAACGAATATAGATTAAGTTTTATGCATTTTATGGTTTTTCAAAATTTATACATTGGTTCGATTAAAATTTTCGTCAAAATTATACTAAGTCCAAATAACGGAGTGGAATTCGATCAGTGTTTACTAACATGACAGGAATAAGATCATCTGGATTCCCTTCGGAGCTTCGTGCTGGTGAAGGGCTTTGTCCCAGCGGATTTCTACTGCGCCTGTAATCTGCTGGGCAGCATCGAAATTGTAAGTATTTTTTTTTAAATATTATCAATAAAAAATAAACTAATGAAAACAGCTTCCTGAGACAATTTTTATTTTCATTTGAAAACAATAATATTTACCATAAATGAAATAAAGAAGCGAAAAATACATTCTCTTGAATATACCGTATCTATGCATTGTGAGTATGTTTCGATTTTATACTATGGCACGCATAAATCATTTTTATACTAAGTTTGCATTCTCTCCCTTTATACCGACCTTTGCGTCGGTACGGAGAGTTGCTATTTAGCGTAACTTTTATACTATTTAGATTTCAATATTTTTTTAGTGTGCATATGTGCATGTATACACTCAAAACATATTGGAAGCTTATAAATAGTATAAAAGTTACGCTAAATCGCAACTCTCCGTGCCGACGCAAAGGTCGGTATAAAGGGAGAGAATACAGACTTAGTATAAAAATGATTTATACCTGCCATAGTATAAACTCGAAATATGCTTGCAATGCATACATACGGTTTATTCGAGGGAATGTATTTTCTGCTTCTTTTTCGTTTAATATATTTGTTTTCAAATAAAAATTAAAGTTTAAATTAAAGCAAAAGCAGTACCATAAAATTAACATTATCGAAACCCAGGTTTATCATTACACGACGTTTTGATCTCTGATAAGCGGCTAAAACTTGGGTCCACCGGAATGGTTATATTCAACGCTTTGGCCGTTAAGTCGAACAGATAGAAAAAAATACTGTGCATCCGCAGTTTATTGGCTAATCGATACAGCGTTGCTATTGATGGCAGGCTCTGATTCCACTTCCGGCAGGCTTATATCACAAACGAAGTGACAGATGACTAACTGGCGAAGAAATCTATTAAAATAATGTGGTTCGCTGTAATAGAATTTTCTTAGAAGCTTGTGCCATCAGCCACCAGATGGGCTAGTTTTTTTGTTTTGATTTGAACATAGTTGATTTTGTGTGCAATATGATCTTTGACAATGTGCAAAGAGTGTATCATTTTGTAATTTTTTTTTATGCATTTCAGTTTAGAGTAGAGTGAAAGAGATAGCACCAAAACATTCTAGTGCATTCGGTGAAAATGCTAGTACAATCCAGTAGTAGTGTTGCCATGTAGTACAGTCCAGTAGTAGTGGTGTTGCCATGTGGTACAGTGAAAAATTGCAATAGCAGGTTAGTCACCAAACTTTTCGAGCCGCTCCGTCTGTCACTTCGTTTGTGCTTATATGCTTCTTTCGATCAATGAGCGGACGATGTTTGCAGAACCATTTGAGAACGTTATCACCTTCAACGTGAACTGAAAAACGACTACGAGTGCCATCGTGTTTGACATTGTCATTTTTGATAGTTTTAGTATACACTGATCGAATTCCACTCCGATAATCGGACTTAGTATAGTTTTGAAGAAAATATTAATCGGACCAATGTATAAATTTTGATTAATAATAAAATACATAAAATTTAATCAATATGGGTTTTGTAATATTTTTGAGTGTACATATGTGTTATAATAAAAGTCCGGCCAAGAGAAAACGTAGCGAACAAGCAGTGCATTTGTGATTTATTTTTCGTCAGAGTGCGTTTGTGGTTTATTTTTCGTCATAGTAAACGGCAACCAGATTTTTTGCGTTAGTATCGGATGACTTTCATTCAGAAGTGAAAAATTTCGTGCCAATAACGGAGCTTTTGAACAATAATTATTATAGAACCTGAAAAATGTTCAAACAAGTGCTTGGTACAACTTATTAATATTAATATTAATGTACTAAATAAAGCGAAGAAATGTTTTTCATCTAAAATTACTAAAATATTGTCAGTAATGAATGCAATACTTGTAGTTCACTGGCTGCGGGAACAATAATGTTTATTTACTTTGCTTGTTTGGTACCCCGCTTGACAGTTCGATTGGTACTTAAGGCTTCACTCTTGGTGGGACTCTTATACCAACAATCAATACGAAACTAACGATTTTACATTGGCTCACCACTTTAGTAGCCTATTGGTCCCAAGCAAACGATTAACGTACCCTATTCTAGTTGAAATTCTATTACTACACTATGTTTGTTTTGATTCGCTATGAAAGTTTGACAGATAACATCAGGGGTGTGTGGATTCATGCAGAACATGCAGGGGTGAGTGAAATAGCTTGGGACTGCTTGGGACCGTTGTTCTGGTACTGAGTGAGCCAAAAATAATAATGATTTTCTTCGGGACCCAGTGGTCTTAGAGTTACCTCTATGGTTGTACCAACCGATGGAAACTAACGATTTTAAATTGGCTCACTACTTGACTAGCCTATTGGTCCCAAGCAAATCGACTAACGTACCCCATTCTAGTATAAATTCCAGTACTACACTATGTTTGTTTTGATGCGCTATGAAAGTTTGACAGATAAAATGAGGGGTTAGTGGATTTTCCTATGTTTCGAGGGGTGAATCGATTTAGCTTGGGACCGAAGATAGTACCAGAGCTGAGCCAAAAAGTTGAGCTCGTTTCTTCGGGACCTTCTGGTCTTAGAGTTACCTCTATCGTTGTACTTCTTTAATCTAGTACCTCAAAACGTACAATTTGTGGTACTAGCTTAAAGCAGTACAACCAACAATCAATATGAAACTAACGATTTTAAATTGGCTCACCACTTTAGTAGCCTATTGGTCCCAAGCAAACGATTAACGTACCCTATTCTAGTTGAAATTCTATTACTACACTATGTTTGTTTTGATTCGCTATGAAAGTTTGACAGATAAAATGAGGGGTTATTGGTTTTTCCTATGTTTCGAGAGGTGAATCGATTAGCTTGGGACCGAGCTTGGGACCGAAGAGAGTACCAGAGCTGAGCCAAAAAGTTGAGCACGTTATTTCGGGACCTTCTGGTCTTAGAGTTACCTCTATAGTACAACGGTACTAATTTGTATGTCTGTCTGTGGTATTATTATAACATTGACTCTGGGTGAAGCTTCTAAAAATGAGTAAACTAATTGCACAAACGAAGTGACAGACGGCTAACTGACGAAGAAATCAATTAATTACTTCATTCGAGCAGTTAAAATGACGTTTACTACCACTCGAACTTTGAAATAAAACATTATTTCGAGATTTTTTCTTCTAGAACCACCAGAAAAGCAGCCAACATTTGTGAGTTTCATAAAAAAATAGAAATTAGTTGGTCCAGTTTTGTGAAATCGGTGGTAGAAAGTCACGCCAAAACTGCTTGACAAAGTGGTCAATTAAAATAATGTAGTTCGCTGTAATAGATTTTTTTAGGAGCTTGTGCCATCAGCCACCAGATGGGCTAGTATTTTTGTTTTGATTTGAACAAAGTTCATTGGCAAATCAAAGTTGGCACTCGTGTAGAATAGAAGAACAATGAGTGTGATAAAGGTTGCACGGTGAGGTGTAGGGTATAGGAGTGCAACCTTAAAATGCTTTTATTTTGCAAATCAAGCATTTTATTTTAATCTGGTTAATGCTACATTAGTAGAAAACTTAAGGACTACTCCTAGGGGAAGTGCAACTTGATCTGAAGTAATATTTGATGTAAAAATTGCTCAAATTGGTAGTTATTATAATTTTTAGTATAAATGTTAATGATATTAACTGTCAAGCGGAAAGCATCAAAGTAAAAAAAATAACAGTGTAACTTTAACGCATACACTCAATGATGTTGCACCATTGTTGTTTATGTTTACTGCAGCTTTCTGTTAGTCATAATTTTTACCTAGATTTTCGTTTTCGATAGCTCTGATCGATTTCGACTTCGGCTTTTCATGATAAAAACGGTACTGGACGTTCCCCCAGCAACAAATCTCTCTAAGTTGCATGCTGATGGCGAATCGAGCGTAACACGACCACGGAACCATCACTCTGGGATTCCGTTAACAGGGCGGCTTTGTCAATCGATCCCAGTTCCATCGGAGAACAGCACATTGGTTCACATACGATGAAGAATTCGTGGAAATTAATCCCTGGGAATGGCCGATTATGTGCACTGAGAACAGCTACCAAAAAATGCCGAATTTATGAGAACAAGGAGCGGATTTTGGTGGCGGTGCCCAGCAAGATCACAAAGGAATTACTTGCCTCTCGTGTGAAATACATTTTTGATTAAACGAATGTCAAATGTACACTTAAAACCAAAATAGTCAAAAACAAACAAAAAACAACTGTCAGACTAATTATAAGATTCGCAAATATCACACATATTAAAATATTTAATATTTCCACCATCGGTATTGATACTGATACTTGGAGCTGTCCTTCCCCTAGGACTACTCAGTATACATAGACAATAAAGAAAAAAATTATATCTTTTCAGATTTTTAGGTGTAAACATAGATTTCAGCTTTTCTACCACTGTAGCAGCATCCAGAATTAAATAAAATGCTCTATTTGCAAAATAAAAGCATTTTAAGATTGCATTCGTATACCTCCCCGTGGAAACCATCATCACTTTCATTGTTCTTCTCAAGGTTCTTCTATTCTCCACGAGTGCCAACTTTGATATGCCAATTTTGTGTACAATGATCTTTGACAGTGTGCAAACAGTGTACCATTTTGTACCCGGGGGAGGGGGGGGGGGTTCCCGAAACATACCAGAATGTGGCCAATGTGGATCTAAGCACTATATTCAAAGATGAATACTAAGATG